GTGTTTTCGTTTCTTTCATTTACGTCTTCATGTATTGTGGAATACAATGCAATCGCCTCAGTGTCTTCATCTATTTCGGGGTCTTCTGTAAGTAATTCCATAATGATTTCTGTACCTTCTAATTCTGTTTCCTGATCTACTCGTCTCCGTTTAAGCGATAGCGCTTGCCGAAGATTATTTATACGCTGAATTCTACAACTTTGTACAACTTCTATTTCTTGGCCAATTTCTACGCCCGAAGCCTTTTCTGAATTAAACCTATTGAGACTGTTTGTTTCACATTGCTCTATTAATATTGGTGATGTTGATCTGTCATACGTTACATTACGCATTGGCGCTGTTTGTACATAGCGGTCAGTACGTTTTATCTCGAGTTTGGTTTGAGTACATATTGTAGCTAAACACTTCTTAACTTCCGATTTTGTTTGTACACCTTTATGAGCCTGCTCTACTTTTGATGTTACCTCGTTGGGTTCGTCAGGATAGGCATCAGGTACAAGCTGACGTAGTGTTCTGCACGAATTCTCACATTTTAACTTGAATGAGTAGCAACGATTAATCTCGCTAATGCATGATAAGCAAACCCTTTCCGGAAGCTTATCTTCACGCCTTGGCTATGCAGATATACAATAAGGATATTAGAGGAAGTATGTTTGTTAATTTATAAATCAAAATTTACCTTGCTCTTTGTAAAATCTCGCAACATGTCGGCAATGCATCCTCCCTCACCGCCCCCATCATAAATAGAAAGCAATGGGCCATTGAGACCAAGGCAAGTACGGCAAATCTTTTCAATATCCACTGCCATTAAGATTTGAACGACACTTATGAAGTTTTTACAACTGGTGGAGCAAGGATTGATCCAATTTTTTAGAATTTATAATGAAAATATCGCAAAATGAAGCTTCCAAATCGAAAGCAAACACAAATGTCAAATTTACACATTCCATGATGCCAAATCGACAACATCCATATCAAAATAACACTGCAGCTACACGATCAAGAAAATTCAAGAAATTTTGCTTGCTTCGTTTCAGAAAGAAATATGTACGTTTTTCGCTGCAGTGGCAATATGGGATGTTATTAAAATATACGCATTCAAAGCGAAGCTAATGGTGTTCACACGAAACGAAGTGAAGCGGAGCTTTTCTCATGAACTTGGCTGCAGAGGTACCACAAAACTTACCGTCAATTAAAAGCAGCGGAAATATTTGCAGAATTATATTCAAAGCGTTTATATCTGAGATTTTTTTATATCTTGTTTGCAGCAGC